TATAACGGAAGGAGACGGTGACCACAAAAAAGGCCACACCATCTTGGTCTTATACTTTTAATATTATTGTTGTTTAATGTATGGTTTGTCCAATCCTTCCGGTTTTATGCGGAAGAAATTAGGCCCAGAAAGCAGTGGGCACAAAACAAGGTGTGAACAAATTGGCTACGAAGGGCAGAAATGTTGGTATCTTCAACACTCTTCTTGGCCGGATGGACCTCGAAACTAAATGCGGGAGACGCGGTCAAACAGGCAGGAGTAAATTGCAGGTATCGTCAACTAATCTGGCCTGGCCCAGAGCGAGAGAATGGAGGGAACGTCTTAGCCATCTGCCCCGCAAAATGGATCGCCCTGAGGCAAGGGCGCTTCGAATATGGACAGACTGCAGACGGGCAGGGCAGAGCGTTGGTGCGGAGACGACCGGGCTGGAAGACGAGTGGGCTGGAGACGGCAAGGTGTGGGCTTTGGGGATAAAGCTAGCTAGACAGCCACAGTAAAAGGTGATGTAGGTACATGAGAGCATGCACGTCTGCCTGCTTGGCGTTGGCATGCTTATAGGTGGAGAAGATTGTTATGAGTCAGCCAAGAAGTTAGGCCAAAGAACCCATGCCAAAGGAGGAGAGCTCATAGGGGGAACAGACAAGCAGTAGGCTTTTGGGATTTTAAGCGAGAGACAACCAATGGATAAGATTGGGAAAAAGGGCCAAAGCCGCTAGATAGTGGGATGAAAATGCCAGTGATACATACATATTGGAGGTATTTTTGTGCCGAAAATAAAGATGCCACGGTCGGTATAGTCGGTATAGTGATAATACCTGGCCCAACCGAGCACTGAAAAAGTATAAAAAAGTCAGTGAGAGATAAACAGACGAGTCAAATCACAACTCAAACAGATGATTTCGCGAAAATAAATCGAAATGTATAGGCCAACTTGGCACATTTGCGAAGGAATATGTGAGAGTTAAGCTAAATGCCAGCCATATAGATGTATATATATATATATATCTATATATATGCATGCAGATGACTAAAAGTGAGCCTAATCTACAGTAAAAGAGGATAATTTAACACCATTCTGTAGCTAAATATAGGATTAACTTTCATTGATAATCAAAATGGCATATAAAATACAAATAGAAAAAATCCAAATAATCCGTAACATTCAATCATAGAGCATTGGCCCGTCCGTAAGCACCGAAGAGTATAGACACCACTGTGTTCTATGCTATCTACCTAAAAAAAGGTCAAAGGTGAATTTGGCCAGAGTGACAAAGAGGGAAAGAAGGAAAAGGAGAGACTGATCTTGGAGGTCGAAAGGTTTGCCAACTAGAAAGAAGGAAGGCCAACCAAACGGATAAACGAAGAACCATTGGCGAACATGAGACTAGGCGTGCATGTAAATAGAAAAACTTAGAAATGGAAACAGGGCGAGAGAAAGATAGAAATAAAATGAGAGCAACCGAAGTCTGATGTTCTATAGCCGAATGCTAGACAAAGCAAGCAAGAGCAATGAATAGATAAACAAGGACATACAGGTAGGTGGCTTGGCTATGTACAGTTGCCCACGCTGAACAAAGGTAGAGATAAATGCAAATGATAAAAAGAAGGGGACAGTCATAAACATAATGAGACTAGGTCAAGCGCATGAGATTATGAACAAACTGATAGAGCCCTCAAAACGTATATAGATGCGCCAGAGTAAGTTTGGCATGATGCCAGAAAGTTGTAGGACGGCTGAAAAGTTTGCGGGTGCAAATAAGACAAGTATAGAGTGGAGAGCGAAGATGAATGAAGAAAATTGAATAACCAAAGCATGGTAAGGCGATGAAGGGCGCCTGCGCGCGTGCGCAAGTAGGTTAATTCGAAATCCAACTTTAATGCTCTGAAAGGAAGCCTATAAAAGTGAAGAACCAGCAGGAGGAAAAAGTTTGCAGAGACAAATATCTAAATGGAGAGACAACACAATGGAATAGAGGCAGGACAACTAAGAGAAAGGAGCACGTACATAAGACAAAAAGAGACAATGGCATAAAGGCAATATGACAAATGCTTTGAAAAGTCATGCTGCTCATAGATCAATTTCCGAGTTGATAAAATAGCTTTGGTGAATAGTTGTTTAAGAGAAATTAAAATGCCAATAACAAATATTACAAGTAATTGTTAGTTGAGAAAAAGAGGAACGGTAAAATGCCTTGGTTATTAAATTTGGATAAAAATGCGAAGAAATAACAGCAATACTTACACTAGCCCCAAGATATTACAAATATTTAATTTAATAATCAATGATATTTGTCAATACTCATTTGTATTATTGAAGTCGAAGTAAGTTTATTTTAAATAGCTTACAACATTTTCCAACCATTAATAAAGCAAGCTAGATTTAATTTTAGCTATTCATACCTGCAAGCTCTAAGATGTATTGGACTAGAAAAACTAAAGTGACTCAGGATTTTTTTAGTAACTTTTCATGAAGATCTTTTTTTATCGAAACAATCACAATATGACGTAAGGTAATATAACCGAACAATGTTATTAAAATTATCTGCTTACCTACGCTTAATGACCTTTGCTCTTTACTTATAAGCGT